ATAACATCGTATGTGCGGTAAGAACCTTGCAACAATGAACTGCCAAACTCTCCCTCTCCTGTTTTGTGCTACAGTTGTCGTATATTTTTATTTTATCTATGCTATAAACTCTCTATACTTTGCTACTGTGAACGCTGAAAATGTGAAACAGGTCTCAGTAAATTTAGAAAGTTTATTTTGCCAAGGTTGAGGATACGCACGCATGACACAGCCTCAGGAGGATCTGATGACATGTGCCCAATGTGGTTAGAGCACAGTTTGGTTTTATCCATTTTAGGGAGACATGAGATATTTATTAATCAACATATGTAATATGAACATTGGTTTGGTCTGGAAAGGGAGGATTCCAGGCAGGTTTGAGTTTCTGATTAGCCCCTCCAAAGAAGGCAATCCTATATGTAGTTATCTCAGTAAGCAGAGCAGTGACTGAATAGAATGGAAGGCAGATCGTCTCTAAGCTGTTCCAAGCTTAACTTTTCCGTTTAGCTTAGTGACTTGGGGACTGCAACACTTATTTTTCTTTTCCACTACTATTTCTGTTTTTGGTAATTAAATACCTTCTACTAAATAAGTATGAGGCAAAATATGTATTTCATATTCGAATTCCTTTTAATCATTTTCAGAGAGCTTCCTTTCTTTGTGTAGATCAGGTTTTTCTCTGTTATCATATTCCTTCTGCCAGGAGATCTTTTATTTTGTTTTCTTTAACATTTCATGTAGTACAAATCTACTGGTACTGAATCTGTTTTTCTTTGCCTAAAAAGTCTTAACCTTATTTATTTTTTAAAACCATATTTTATTTTTACTGAATGTAATATTCTGGGCTTACTATGTTTTTCTACCAGCACCTTAAAGATGCTTTTCCATTGTCTTCTCATTTGTATAGATTCTGACGACAAATGTTATGAATTTTGTATCTTTAGTCCTTAGTATGTAATGTGTCTATTCTTCTCTGACTGCCTTCATAATTGTCTATATTTCCTTTGGCTTGAATATGAGAGGGGAGTGTGTGTGTGTGTGTGTGTGTGTGTATGTGTGTGTGTGTGTGTCCCACAGCATTTCAATACTCTGGGTTTTTTTCCCCACTCTTTCTTTTTCTCTTTCTCTCTTTTCAGTTTGGGCAATTTCTATTGACTTATCTTCAAGTTCACTCATTCTTTCTTTAGCTGTGTTGAGTCTACTGATACATCCATTAGGCACTCTTTATATAGTTCCATTCAACTCTCTTATCATTTCAATCTCTTTGCCAAAATTGCCAAAATTGCTAGTCTACTCATGTATGGTATCTACCTTTAAAGCAGACATTTAAATATATTAATCACAGTTATTTTCAATTCCCTCTGTTATATTTGTGATATCTGGGTCATAAGTCTAGTTCTTTTTAATTTCTCCTGAAAGTAGGTTGTTCATTTTGTTTTGTTCTGTTTTACTGTAGGACTAGCAATTATTGTGATAGATTGAATCAATCAAATCAGGTGTTAAACTTGTTTTAGATTTTGTGGTTGCTATGGTTATCTTCATGGCACCACAAGATCCAAGCTTGTCTGGTATCAACTTTGCCAGAGGGTTTTTCTCCAGATTTCTAGTCGACTTTCAGCAGTAGGCCTTCCCTGTGTGTCTGCTGCAGAGAAGGTCTCCTCGTTCTTACCCCTTCCCAGCTATTTATTCTATCTTCCTAGGGCTTAGGGATGAACATTCTCCTGGATCTTGCCATGCCCCAGTGATAGCCAATATCTAATGGTACCGATCCTTGATAGTCTCTTATCCTCCCAAAGTTAGAATGTTTTCTTCTGTAACAGTGGATCTTTACTCATGCCCTGGAGGATAACAGTGTTTGAAGTCCTTCTAGCAGTCTAAGCTCTTTGTTTCTGAGGGTATAAGCAACTGGGGGAGTTTTAGTCTTTGCCCCCAGTGGCAGCTGCTCCCCTCCTCCACACCTGTACCATCAAGGATGGCTTTATTCTATCACCCTACTGCCTGCAGTCTTTGTCACCAGCATCTAGTGAAGTCCATGGAGAAAAGCCTAAAAGAGAGTGTGTACTTCTTGTGCCTGTGGATCCCAGGGCTTCTATGCTCTCTCATTGGTGCACCCTAGTTCTTTCTCAATGTCTTTTTTAAATTACTTGAATTGCTTGTACTTGCTTGTATGGAATCTGGTATAACTTTTTTCAACACTCTACCAAAAGTACACAGTTCTTGCACTCCACATCTTCTTGAAGATGCCTGTTTTTCCCTAGTTTTCATGCTAGTTGGTTACCCTACAATCTCAGCTCTTTGATGGGCTCAAGAAAAGTTATTTTTTAGATTGGAGTTTTCTCATTATCAGGGTTGGAGTAACAGTCTTTCCCTAGTATTTGCTTTTTCTAAGTTTCCCTAGTAATTTTATATTTTTATTGATAAATTATATGCTGTACCACTGTGCAAATATATAAATTACAAAACATATCCCAAAATAGAAGTAAAAGAGAATGAGATGGATACTTGATTTGAATATGGTGATATAAACTCAGCATTCTCTGTTTCTTCCATTTGGAAATCATCCAAAAACAGCAAGGGAAACTGTGCCCCTCTGTGTTTTAAAGACTAACTGCAATGATGGTGGCTCCTGCCAACAGTCACTATGAGTTTGCTGCTCTTGTCAAAAAACAGTCCCAGTTTTTTCACCTATATGTATGGCCTCTTACCATGAGAAAGTAAATTTACTTGTTTTTCCCTAAGATATACAGCATTAAAGAACATTTAAGTAAATGGTTACACAATAAGTCGTGTTTACAGAAAACAGTTTGTTTCCATGACAGCAAAGAAGGGAGCCTTTGAATCATGAAAACAAGTTAGTCTCCAAATATTCCCATTGACCTTCCCCTAGAACCCCACCAATTGTCCCAAGAAAAACCAGTCTACTTCAGTACAAGTAATAATAAAAAGAGAACTGACATTGAATACATTCAAAGATACTATGAGAAAAGGCAGATTAAAAAAGAACTAAATCTAATAACAGATGAAGAGCTCTTACAAAAAAAAGTTGACATAATACAGATAATTATGACTGAACATTTGCCATGATTTTAAAGACTTAAAGCAAGATCATAAAGTAAAAATGCAATAATCAAAGAAGAGATGATAAAATGTGAAAGTTATAGAATGCTGTAAATCTTTCCTCCCTTCTTATAGAGATATTACCCATCTGGTACAGATTAAAAATACAATTACATATAGAAAAATGACAGAAATAGATAACAGGTAAAGAAGACCCAGCATATGCCTAAGTAGAATCCCTGAAGAAAAACTTTAAAATCATGTTGGGGGAGGGGAATTGATGTTAAATATAAAGATGCAAATTAACGTAAAAATATAAATTAAAAACTGATAAATTATCAAAAGATATTTATATATTAAATGATTAAAATATTAAATATTAAAAGCCCATATTCTGTGATAGAGGTATAGAATCAAAATGACCATCACTGAGAGGCCTAGTGAAATTATTGGGCTTCAAAATGAAGAAATAATTATTTGGGCTGCCTACTCATATAAGTGGTGGAAGAGGTGGGATGGGAAACAAGAGGCCCTCAAACTTCTCAAGAGCAGCATTCAAAAGTAAAAGACAGTGGAGCACTACTTATAAGATCTTGTGGAGAATCTTATATATAAATCATGTATTCTATATCCAGCCAAAAGTTTATTCAAGGACAGAGGAAATAGATATACAGTTGAGAATATACCATATTCTCAGGGATTATTACCATAAGATGTTTTTGAGAAAATTAGTACTACAGGACAAATTTTGGCCAACACATGGAGGACTAGAAGCACAAAGGCACAAACATTCATATAATATAATTAACCATAGAATTCGAACTAAAACAACTGTACAAAAGAACAAATTTGTATGATGTACAAATTATATAACTAACAAAAAATGGAAAAATATGGGGAAAGAAGGTCTACAGAAGAAGTATGCTGGAATTTTCAGTTACAATAGCCAATCAAAGGATGAAATGTAAACTTGATAAATAGAAATAAAACAAAATGTAATAATGCAAAAGTAAATAAACACCAAGGAAAAGTAAATAAATGACTAAAATTAGATAGTGGAGAAGAAATAGAGGACTACAGACACATTGAAGAAACACCCTGCTTTCATTATTTCTCATTATGAAGAATAATAGATCTGGGATTCTTTGTAAAAATGAGAACTGAGGGTACTATAAAAAGTTATAGTTGTAAAGGTAATTTATAGAAGGAAATAATGTAAACCTTCTTAAATGTCAGAAGAACCACCCATATACAACTACAAAGAAGAAAGACACAGATTATTGAACAATCCTTTAAAATCTTTAAAACATGGAAAATGCAATAAAAACCACAAGACAGAAACAATCTCAAGTATATTTGTAATATAAATAAATGTAAATGAACAAAAACAACTATTGTTTTAAAAAATAAGATTTTCAGGTTGTATCACGTAGCAAAATCCAATTCCAGGCTCTACGCAAGAGATACTAAAACTAAGTGTTTGGAAAGGTTAAAAATGAAAAACACAGTTAGATTCAAGTCAAACAGCATTAAGCTAGACAAAAGCATATACTTTATAAAGTTAAAATGCACATTCACAAAAAGCAAATTAAAAGAGTAGTGCTTTGGTAACTAATTAGAGTTTATTTAGAGTGACCCGCTATTCCAGCTTACCATGGATAGTTTATGTCTGTTGTCCTGGCTTAATTATTTATTGAACATTCTTTCATATTTAAAGTATATAGGTTTACATGTTAAATCATATGGTCATTTTAGGCACATTCCAGGAATGCAAGGATGGTTCCATATCAGACAACATATTCACATAAATTCCTATCGAGTTTTAGCCTTTTGCCATCAGCTTCATAACACTGCATGTCATGCTGTATTATATCCTTTGTATTGTATCTTATGGGTCTCTGCTTTTTAGCATTCACTTTCTTTGGCTCACTGTATCACAGCTGTGATATATGTTCCTTTTACAGGGTCCCCTGAAAGGCTTTCTGGAAGATTTAGGCAGACTGCAAAAGAAGTTCTATGCCAAAAATGAACGGTTACTTTGTCCTATCAGGACCTACCTGGTTACAGCTAGGAGTGCAGCCAGTTCAGGCGCCCGTGTGCTGAAGACCCTTCGACGCTGGGGTCTAGAGATAGACGAAGCTCTTTTCCTTGCTGGAGCCCCAAAAAGTCCCATCTTGGTGAAGATCCGGCCCCATATCTTCTTTGATGACCACATGTTCCACATTGAAGGGGCACAGAAGTTAGGTTCCATGGCAGCTTATGGCTTTAATAAAAAATTCAGTAGTTAGGGGCAGGGAGGAGAAATAAAGTGGTAATAGTCTGGTATTACAGAAGCCACTTCTTTTGACTCTCTAGGATTATTAGATAGGTATTTCAGAAAATTGGACCTTAAAATTTAGCTTCTTTGGAAAGATTTCCTCTTGATTTTTTGGAAAACCTTTTGAACCCTCAAGTTACCATCAAGCTACTTCTCTTTGAACTACCAATACTGTTGAATGTCATTGCACCTATCTCTGTGTAAGCCATAATGATGACTCTTCAAGATAAGTTTAGAACTTGAATATTTGCATGCTTAAGGGACTGTTTTAGAAGCTTACTTAGTTTCATGAAGCACTGCTCATTTTTGGATGTTTGTAGATAACAATGAATTGTTACCCATCAGCATTGTAGAATAGTGTCTTCAAAGGTAGAAGGAGTATGGTTAAGTACACTCTTGAAAACTGGAGCTTTGTATTCTGTGACTGCTATGGCCAGCCCTTTAAACAAAGCAAAATGAGAATTTCACTTTACCTGCATAACAATTTTGATACTGCTCATTTAGAAATAAATCATCTGGTTGTTCCTCCAGGGTACTTTCTAAGATAAGCCTTAAACAGAAACTCTTAAGAAAGGTTCTCTGAAAATTACTTGGTGGGTTAAATGCCTCTGGTCCACAGAGTTTCATATTTGAAGTCTCTGGCTTTGGGCCTGGCAGGCTGGCACATCCATATTTGTATGGGAAAAAAAAAAAAAAAAGACCCTACGCTACCACTTCAAAATGTGACATGAAGTGTAGAATCCTGGTCCTTCATTGTCATTCTCATGTGATTTTTGTTTTGTTTTCAACAAAAATTGGTTGGTCATTAAATATATGTTAGGCACAGTGACCTGGTTATTTTCACATGTTACTTCATTTTCTTATCAAATTAAATGTTTGTTACATAGTATTATTATTACCGTCCTTTTTATCAATGAGGAGCCTAAGATTCAAAAAGGTTAATTAGACAGCTTGTTTAAGGATATGGAGCTAATGAGTGTTAAGACTAATTAGATTCAAATTCAAATCTTACTTCAAAAGTTATAATGAGGTCTCTTTCCTCCCTTCGAAATAGAGTTATTAATTTCATGGCCTTTGGACCCATCTGGTACAGATTAATCATTTCATTAAGTTCCATGCATAAACTACACAGCAGTTACACCGCAGGTCTAAGGATTCCTCCCTCCTCTTTTCCTCCTACCCTTTCCTGCTCTCTCTACCTCCGCCTTCATCTCTACTCCACCTGGACACATGTATTCTACCCCTGACTCTAGATGAGAGAAGACCACAGCTGAAACACATCTTCTGATGCTCCCTAATTTTATGTAAAGCAGTCCAATATATCAGTTGTGACACATGACACTTACTGTGTACCTACCATTTTGTAGGTGTCCTCCCATGCAAAGACCACAAGAGGTATGCAGACAAAACCCTATCCTCTAGGAAACTGAAAACCTTAACAATCTGGTCAAGGAAGTCAAATGTGCAAACTCAAACAGTCAACACTAGAAGGCTGTTTGTCTTCAGTGCCAGTGAGGGTCACACATGAAGGGAGCAGAGATCTTCATAGGCTGGAAGTGGTCATAATACAAAGACTTGAGGTAGCCTGTAATTTTGATGGATGGGCAAGATGTGGATGGGGAAGAAAGGACAATAAAGTGGAAACAGATATGCTGGGGGATCACTGAGTTTGAGTAGCAGCTTCAAATTGGGGATAGGGTGGTGTAGGACCACCTCTCATGATTCCTGTTCCTGGTGCCTTGTATAATCCCCAGTAAGAGTGCTCTTTCCCACCTCTGAGCTCCATTCTCATTAATCATAAGAAACCTCCTGGAATCCATCCCTTTTTCTTTGTATTCTGACTATTGCATGTTACATCCTTCCCAAATGTAAGGGAGTGGAAGATGGATTATCACAATTATTGGGGAGTTTGTCTCAAACTATACAAGCTGTGGCTCTTTTTCCTTGTGTGAAGAACCTGCAGTGGGTGGAGGGTGGGAAGTGGGAGATCACAGTTCCAGAAAGTAAGCACCCTGAGAGCAGAAATGGTGTCCCATTTCTCTGTGGCTCTAACAGGGAACAGGCCAGGCACATATTGGATGGAGAGGCAGATGAACGAATGAGTCTTTAAAAGTAGCTTCGTATACAACTATGAAATTTGTAGCTTGAAGATAGGTTCCTGTGACACTAACCCTGATATTAATGAGGCATTTTACAGTAAGCCAAGCACTTTGCCTTCCATCGTTGTGTGTAACAGTCCTATGGAGAGGGCAGGGAGGCATTTGTAAATGGCCTGCTCAGAAGCCTATATTTACAATAAGTCCAACCTTTTCCCGCTGTACCTCTGCTAGTGTCAAGATCATTTGAAGATGATTTTCTTTTTTTTAGTAGGGACCAGTGACATAATGCCTTGTTCAGTGGTTCTCAAAGTGTGGTTCCCAGATCTGCAGCAGCAGCACCTGGGAACTTGTTAGAAGTGCAAATTATCAGGCGCCATCCTGTACCTATTGAATTAGAAACCCTACTACTGGGGCCCTGGTTTTTTGTTTTCGTTTTGTTTCATTCCCCTACCCCGAACCCCCACCGCAAGTCCTCCAGGTGATTCTAATGTGCATTTAAGTTTGAGAACTTCTCGCCCATTCTATTTCCAACTGATTCATGTTGCTTAATTCTTTGTCTCATCTATGAAAAACAGTCCTACCTCAGACTTCAGCTTGTCAGGGCCCATTCCCCAGAAGGTGAGTTGAACTGAATTTACAAGTCCCAGGAGCCCTCAAAGGAAAACACACGAAATGCCCTGAGGAGTGGCATTTGTAACAGGGCCTGTACAGAGATCTGTAATTCAAAGTACTCATCAGGCATTCCCACGGGGAAGTGCGCCCCGACTCTGGGATTTCCATACGTATGAACCCCAGCAGCCTGAACACTGTGCTGGGTGCCCAGCCTCCATCATTAAGCTGGGAGCAGGTTTCACGGACGGCGCAGGACCCGGGGCGCTGAACTCTCCCAACCAATCAGGCGCCCCCAGCGGGAAACTACAAGTCCCAGGATGCCCCACGCACACCGTCAGGGGCCGACCCGCCGCGCCTCAGAGTTCTCCGCGTACAGGTGTCTCCTGGGTTCCGGTAAGGCGGCCGCTGCGGAACTCCCGTGGCAGGACCGGTGGGCCCTCGGGCCCGACGATGGCAGTGGCCACTGCGGCGGCAGTACTGGCCGCTCTGGGCGGGGCGCTGTGGCTGGCGGCCCGGCGGTTCGCGGGGTCCGGGGTCCAGCGGCAGCGCGGAGGCGGGGACTCCGGCCTCATGCACGGGAAGACTGTGCTGATCACCGGGGCAAACAGCGGCCTGGGCCGCGCTACGGCCGCGGAGCTGGTGCGCCTGGGGGCGCGTGTGATCATGGGCTGCCGGGACCGCGCGCGCGCCGAGGAGGCGGCGGGTCAGCTCCGTCGCGAGCTCCGCCAGGCCGCGGAGTGCGGCCCAGAGCCCGGCGTCGGCGGGGCGGGCGAGCTCATAGTCCGGGAGCTGGACCTCGCCTCGCTGCGCTCGGTGCGCGCCTTCTGCCAGGAAATGCTCCAGGTGTGGGCCTCGGGGGGCCGGGCTGGTGGGGAGGGCCTGGGCTGGTGGGGAGGACCTGGGTGGGCACGGGGTGGGAGGGGACTGCGGGCTGGGGCGGAGCCTCGAGGTACCGCCCGGTGGTTCAGGGTGTCACCTTGGAAACCGCTGAGGGTGAAGGAGTCCAAAAAGCCACTTAGAGGTGGCCGGGAAGCTGCAGGGTTGAGAAGGAAAGATTAACTGGGAAGGCTGCCTTCTGTCCTCTAAGGATGTCGAGAAAGAAATGGGCCCAAGAGAAAAACCAGTTTCTGAACATTTCATTTCGTTATATGAGGACCGTCCTGGAGTAGATCCATGGCCTTTGAATTGTTTCTCCTGTGTCAGACGTGAATTTGCACCGAGCTGTGTCTTCAGAACCCCAGAGCACTGGGGGAAGTTGCTAGCCAAGGACCTCAGATCAGTCCTTTAAAAAAAAGTTCTTCCTCCCGCGGCCTCTGCTCCTTTTCTGCTGGGGTAGGGCCCTCGCTCGCTGCCACCAGTAAACTCAGCACCATCCTTAACGGGACTGTGGCCTGATTTCCAAGTAGAATAGAGCTTGGAACCCAGTGGTCATGCTCCATACAGGGACAGGAGTAAAAATAATACCCAGCATTTATTGAAGATCTGTATGCCAGGAGTTGTGCCAAGGATTTCAGATTTTCCTTTTTGTTTTAAATGAAAATGAAGTGTCCTTGCCTATAACTTGTCATTGAAGCTACACGGTAACCCTGTGGAGTAGGCATTATTATCCCCACTTTACAACGCAAGGAAACTGAGGCATAGGAAGGCTAAGCAACTTGCTTGTAGTCTGTCTGCAGAACACTTGCTTTTAACCCCTGTTCTTTCCTCCTGCTGCCTGGCAGTGAGGTGTGAGGATTTCTTTTTGCAAATGGTAAGTATTTCCACATAAGTGGATGTTTTCTGCTGAGACTGAGGTAGAAGGGTTTCTTGCAGGGATAACTGGCACTCAGAGGGCATTTGTTCAGAAGAGTGAAATTTAAAATTAGCTGGGACAAGAAAGGTGCCTATATGACATGGAGTCTCTTGAGTCTATAGAACAGGTTCCCACATTTTCTCAGTAATTTTTTCATGATGCCGTTAGCCCAGAAATATTTCCCAGTTCATTTGTTACGTAGTTAAGTCCAAACAACTGTAAAACCAAAAGTATCTGATATAGGTCTCAATAAATTTAGAAAGTTTATTTTGCCAAGGTTAAGGATGCATCCGTGGCAGAACCTCAGGAGGTCCTGAGGACATGTGCCCAAGGTGGTCGGGGCACAGCTTGGTTTTATACATTTTAGGGAGACATGAGACATCAATCAAATGTGTAAGATATACATTGGTTCTCCTGGAAAAGTGAGACAACTCGAAGTGGGGGCTTCCAGGTCATAGGTAGATGGGAGACAAAAGGTTGCATTCTTTTGGGTCTTTGATTAGCCTTTCACTGAATGTGCAATTTACACGTGCAGGAGGGATAGAGGAATAATCACT